TTTCAATAAATACGGCTTCCATGAATTTTTAAATTAGCATCTTTTTTGACACTTTTAGGTTATACGAAAATGTAAGTTTTGTTTCAACATTTTTTTTCTCAATATTTTTCCAATCCAACCCAACAATTATTATACATCATTTTAAAGAGAAAGCTTTGAGCTTTAATTTAGAATAAGTCTCATTCTTTAATTTCAATAAATACGGCTTCCAGGAATTTTTAAATTAGCATCTTTTTTGACACTTTTAGATTATATGAAAATGTTAGTTTTAACTCAATACTCTTTTTCTCAATATTTTTTTAATTCAACCTATCGATTGTTATACATCGATTTAAACAGAAAACTTCAAGCTTGAATTTAAAATAAGTTTTATTTCTTAATTTCAATATACACGGTTTCCAGGAATTTTTTAATTAGCGTCTTTTTTTACACTTAGACTATGCGAAAATAGGAGGATTGCATATTTTGCTAAAATTTTATTCCAAAGGCCTTTACCAAGTGTATTTTGATAGCGTTTTAATTCTGTCTGATTCTGTCACAAAGTTTCAAAATGTTTGACTTCTTGGGACACAAAGGGTTAACACATATAAGGTGTTTCAAAACAACACTTAAACATTTATAAGGCGTTTCTATGGTCGAAAACAGTGTTAGAGCTAAAAATACCAGAACTAAAAAGTTTGGGTTTAGCCAAACGTCTCTCAAGACGGCTAAACCCAAATCTTTCTAGTTCTGGTTCTAGAGTCTGAACTACAAACGTTTGGATTTTGACGGTTTGAGATCTTATTTTTGGCTTATACCTCAAATTAAAGCTAAAACATTCTATTTTATGAATTTAATATAGAATATATAAGTTTGATAATAAAATTTTTTTTTGCCCTAACTATCCTAGGCGCAAATGATTTGTTTTGCATAAAATGATAAAATATTTGAGTACTATATATTTTTTTCAGTAACAATATACAAGATTGTATCAAGATGAGTGTGGAAGGTTTCACGAGTATTTTGCAAGGGCCATTCGCTCAATATTTAGCCGTATCGAAGCAAATTGGTGGCGACGTGGCGCTCCATAGTGATATCGTTAACGCGGCCTTCCAAGCGCAGCTGAACTACCTGACGGTGGTCAGCCAATCGAAACAGCCTTCTAGTCAAAATGATCAAATCGCCTTATTGAAGCCGACCAGCGAACAAATCACCTCCATTCAGGAGTTTAGGGAGAAACACCGCACGTCTACTTATTTTAATCATCTCTCGGCCGTCAGCGAAAGTATCCCAGCGCTGGGATGGGTCACTGTTAGTCCAGCTCCGGCTCCTTATGTTAAGGAAATGAACGACGCTGGGCAATTTTATACCAATCGAGTATTAAAGGACTGGAAAGAGAAGGATAAAAAGCATGTTGATTGGGTTAAATCGTGGGTTCAAACTTTAACCGACTTACAGGTGATTATTAAGAATTGTTGAAGGAAAATGATTCAACAATAATTAATTTCAACATTCCTACGCGTGCGTTATAACAATATTTCTTAGTTGAGTCATGTTTTTTTCATTTTTAGGCGTTTGTTAAACAATATCATACAACTGGATTAGTTTGGGCTGGAAAAGGAACCGCAGTACCACCAGTAGGTTCGTGTCCTCCGCCGCCACCACCAGGTTGCCCACCACCGCCACCTTCTTTAGCGGATCTTCCTTTATTAGAAGACTCTAACACAGATCGATCAGCCCTTTTCGCTCAGATCAATCAAGGTGAGAACATCACAAGGGGTTTGAAAAAGGTAACCGCGGATATGCAAACTCATAAGAATCCGACGTTGCGACAAGGCCCGGCTCCGTTTAAGACTCCAGTCGGGGCTACCCATCTTCAATCGCAAACAATGGTCGATAAGCCGCCGAGTTTTACTCGCGATGGGAAGAAATGGCTCATTGAGTATCAAAAGGGCAATCAAAACTTGGTGGTAGAAGGTGGCGAAATGAACAACGTCGTTTACGTGTTCAGATGCCAAGATTCGACGATTATGGTTAAAGGGAAATTGAATTCGATCGTTATGGATTCGTGTAAGAAAACTTCGGTTGTTTTCGACTCCTTGGTGTCTTCCATGGAGTTTATTAATTGCCAATCTGTTCAAATGCAGGTACGTAAATTAAATTAAATTAATAAATTTTTTTTTATTTAATTATTTATTATTTTAGGTTTTGGATAAAGTACCAACTATATCCATTGATAAAACTGATGGTTGCCAAATGTATTTAAGTCCACAATCCTTGGAGGTAGAAATAATTAGTTCGAAATCATCCGAGATGAACGTTTTAGTTCCAAAAGGACAAGGAGATTATGTAATAATATAATTAATAATAATTTTATTTTTTTTATGTTTTTGTTTTTTTTAGACTGAATTCGCTGTTCCAGAACAATATAAAACGACCGTAGCGCAATCCGGTAAAGGTCTTAATACAATTATCGTCGAAAATAAAGGTTAGAAGTAAAGCGAAAAAAAATCGTACGTCTTCACTCCCCTGTAATTCTTATAATATCCGAACAAAAAAAAATGCGCAAAGTTTTTCAAATTTTATACCAAATTACGTGTAAGCATTGTGACGTTTACCTAGCCGGTATAATTTTTTTAGATAAATAAAAACTGTACGAACTCTAAAGGAGTTATTAATTATGGCAATATCGCGTATAATTAAGTCCTCTTAATTTGTAGCTTTTATTTTTTTTTATTATGCTCTTATCCGTCGTTTTATTCTAGTAAAATATCGTTTAATGAAACTACTTATTGTATTGATATTTATTTCGATCAATAAATTTTGATCCTTATTTTACTTTGTTTTATTTTACCTTAAGCAACTTTAGTACCATGTATTCAAGATATGTTCGTGTTAAAAAGCAATAATAACGGTGCCATAGAAACAGTTCTAACGACTTTTAATTCACTTAGCTTCCGGGAGAAACGATTAAATGGAAGAGATAGAGTTTTATTGGTTTATTTTTTTTTGGGTCAATACTCCGGCTTCAATAAAGTAGATAATAGATTAATAATAGACTTGGTTTATTTGATTTATAAAACGATCAAAAAATCAATTTCCATTTCATTTGAGCCCGACGGCTTGAAAAGAGAATTAAAAAATGTAGACGCCAAAGAAGGGGGCTGAAGAGGGACAGGTGGACATGCATGAAGGAGACTTGACCACCTTAACAGGTATTGGGTTGGGGGGCCGCTCCCATGTCTGGGAGAGGACCAGAAGTATGCGGGCGTGGGCGGCCGCGTTTTTCCTTATACCCTTCCCCGTGTTGTTCCCCCGCCACGGCCGTAGGAAAGATATTTATAATACGCGTTACGTCTGGATACGTGATAAAACGAACGTAACGGGGGAAGCGGGGCGAGAGACGAGGAGTGAACGAGGAGTGGGAACTAAAAAGAGGCAAAGTGTGGGGCCGCTTCTTCGAAGAGGCGTTTTAGGTTTTAGTGATCAGCCCATTAATGTGGGGAAAGCCACGTACATTTGTGTGACGCGAACTTATTTTTAATCAGGAAAAAAAATTCGAATAGAATAATAACGTAAGAGGGGGTTTCAAAAATTAATTTGAGAACGCGGTGGGGAAGAAAAGGTGGACATTTTTCGGAGGAGATAGAATAGGGGGAAAAGAATATGACGCAGACGCGTTGAAATAGTAGATTCGATTTTTGGGCGTCCTTTTTCAACATCAGTGGAATTTAGCTTTTGAGGGCTTTAAGTAGTCGACGACGAGAGGTGGTGGAGCACGGACGCAAGGCGGTGGAAGGAGAAGGTGGAGAAGATAAGCGCAGGTGCGGTCGTGCGATTGGAGTTGAAGTATGTCGGAGGGTTGCTGTACAAGGTATAAAGGTCGGAAGAGGTTTGAAAATGGAGTTTGTTGGTGAGAAGTCGACACCGAACACATATCCGAATCCTAATACGAAACCAAATTTGAATTCGAATCCTAAACCTATCATGAATGTAGTGGAGTACGACGACGGTGATTTGATGCTGTCACGGCGGGCCGAGCCGGGCAGGAAGGACGTTATGTCTCAGTCATGGTGAAAGTGCTCTTCCTGAGGCTGCTAGTTGCTATGATGTGCGTCCTCGTCAGTGCTATACCCGCGCCGAAGCTAATCGCCAAACGCCCCGACCTCCTCTCGTCGACTTCGCCGTCCTCTCCAGATCCCGAAGACCCCGCGACAAGAAGCGAGCGCAGCACCAACCTCTCCCTGCACGCTAGCCGAAAGATACAATTGTTTATTAAAAACAGGCACCTTCAGCTGTTGCCTGACGGCACCGTTAATGGCACATTGAACTCCCTTAGTAATTACAGTAAGTTAATTCTGTTTCAGTTTTCAACGCAAAAACCTGCCTTTAAGAACGCGTTCTAATTTAAACTATTGCATAATTTTGAACTAAAATAAACGTGACCTATGACTGCTAACCGCGTTTTATTGTTTCCAACTGGGGCATCTTTTTCTTAACTTAGTCGCCCCGATGATATCCATGCAGTTTTTGATGCTATTCTTTCAAATGTATCGTCTCACATTTGATTAGAATATGTATCATAAACTTTTAATTTCAATTTTTTATGCACTATTTGTAGCAAGTCATTTGTCACAAAACTGGGAATGTAAACGTGAGATTTAAAAGGCTGTTGCAATTTCGATTTTTTTGACTCACGTTTACATCCCCTTGATTTTATTCATTTCATTATGAGGATATATCACACTGATGAGACCTAATAAGGTCGAAACTGTTGCAATTTTTTGTTAATTAATTTTTTTAATAATTCAAGTCGAATTTGCAGCAGTCTGTGATTTCCTCAATACAAAAAAATTAATTAAATTTAGATTATCGAACAACAAATTCAACCTTCATCTTGTTTATCTGATTGGAATCCAGTAAGTAAACATATTAATGTTTTCCAATTCCATTTAACCTTGTTTTTTTTTATTTTGGTGAGTAAAAATTTGTATTAAATTCCAATAAAAATATTAAATAAAACGATTTTTTGATTCATCCTTACAAAGAGAACTATAATTATTAATTAGGTTACGTAAACCTTGTTTGTTTCTAAAACAATGAGTATTTTGGCACAGTTCTCGGCAATTTAACATAATTTTCCCTTTCCTTTCTAATTATAAAAAAAAATTTCCACACGACGTTTGTCACGTAAACGATTAAAAAATGGCTCAGTTTTGGTTGTGTGACGAAAGGAAGTTGCGGTTAAACGTGACCCCACTTAAAAGGAACAAGAAAAACCGAACCAAAACCGATTGCTTACACCATAACCATAAATTTGAAGCCCAAAAATAATGTGACGGGACATTCTTGTAACCTAATCCTGTCCCAAACTCAAGGATTTCGATGTTATCGCGACCTCCCAGAAGTCATTCCTCCAAACATCTGGCATTTTAATTTTAGTTTAAAAAAAAATTATTTTTGTTAATCTTCTTTGACTGTTATGTTTTTGTAATATATGTATTTAAATATCAAAATTTCAATTCGCCTCGCGATTTCCTATGAATAAATCAAATTTCGTATTCCATTCGAACTCATTTGTATTCATGGCATTTCTAAACGGGTAAAGAAGTCTCTGGAAGCGCGTTTTAAATTCATCCCACCTCCTCGTGCTTCGAGTTGGATCGATTAGACAAGTTATAATTTCGATCCGAGGATATTTTTAGCGATTCCAGACGTTCTCTTTTTGAAAATAAACTCAAATAAAATCGAGAGCGAGAATGACGTCGTCTGTTGCCTTCAAGAACAAATTGAGTTTATTGCTATACTAATTTTCAACAACGATGAATGACCTCTTAGATACTCTACTCAACTCATAAATATAATTTAATTTTTGAATATTAAATGGATATCTCCTAACATCATTTTTCAAGGAAACTGAGTTCGATTAACAAGAACAAATTTCCCTCCAATATGGCTTTCTTTTTGAGTATATTTTTGTAAAGGTGGGGACATACAATTATATAATTGAAATGGCCTCAAATAAAGGTGTGAACAATATTATTTTGTACGAAACATGACCCTATACAGCGCATTTGATTTTAGTTGCTTTTAGATTTAAAACGATCAAAATTAATCAATTTTTCATTATAAAGCACTCGCGATTCGGAGTATACCACAAAAAAATTTTTAGAACAAAAGTTGTAGCAAATTTTATTCTTAATAATATTGCTCTCTTTCACTTTTGAGCTCAGATGCATCAATTCGAAAAAAATACAACAATACTAAAATCAAACACTCTATATCCAGGATAGAATGGAATTCGAGTTCTACTTATATTTTATTTTACGTCTTGTGAAACTTTAAACCGATTTTATTTATTTGTTTACGAGTTGAGAACGAGTTATTTTAATCCTCTTAAAAAAGAACGTTTGAATTTGAAGTTGTTTTCTACCTAAGCGTTCTTAAAAAAATAAGTCTTTGTTTTTCTTAACGTTAATATATTTCTCTGTATAAAAATATTTAACATATTATTCATGTACCGTCGAAAGAAAAGTTACAAAAAAAAACACTTTTTATCAACTCTCCTGGGGGAATGCATATTGTAAGAGTTTCTTGCACATTTCGAAACCGAGGAAACAAGCGGCGTTCGCGGGGAATGCTCTCATTAAAACAGGAACGATGCCTTTGTAAAGTGCTAAAGGTCCTTCGTTCTTTAATAAATCCCTAGCAACATCCCTTATTCCATTGGGAAATTCGCCCGCTTTGGCTGCAAAAAAATAAATTAAATTAAGTAATAACATTAATAAACGATTTTAAATTACCCGTTTGTAAACGGCTTTTAAGAACATCGAAAGGCATCCCAATTAACCAATTAGCGATTCCCGAACATCCCCCAGCAAACACCGTTCCGCTGATTGTGATATCTTTTTTACCATTATCGGTAAGGTAATCCTTGATCGCTTCGTATGTCAGAAAATATAAGCCACTTGCGGGTACATCTAAAAATATAAGCAAAAAATTCATTTTTGAACCTTATCATAAAACGGTTTGACATAAAAATTGAGAAAAGCAGATAATACAGGAACAGAAGTGGGCGAGAACATCCTGAGTTTTTAGATAGAACATGGGGAGAACTATCATTACTATACTTACGATGTTCGTGTAAAGTAGAAAAACAAAAATGTGTTGCTCATTATTTTATTATTTACTCCTTACAAGTTTTATTCCAGTAAGTACTTTTAAATTAATAAAACAATTTTCCCAATTTTTATATGTATCATTATTCTTCCATTAGATATCTTACACATTATGGGAAAACGAAAAATTATGCCCACTACAATGTACGTGTTATTTACAACATTTAACCGAAACATCAATATATCGTTACACCCAACAAGATAAAGAAGCTGAAAAACACCAATCAGAAGCATTCGGTCACGAGAACAACGAAGTTTTATACGACGACGATTTCATTGCGACGTTTGAAGAGGCAAAATCGATTCTAAGAACGGCTGTATGCATGATACAAACCGAAACGGAACTAAAAGATTTATTAAGAAAAGTGCAAAAAGATGTGAATGCGTTAACGTTAATTCAAGGTTCTGATTCGGGGAATAAAACGTTAAAAGCAAGCGATTTGGTTCAATTTCAAGACCTCCTCGTGTTGGAATTGCAAGGTGTTAAATTGAAGGAGCAACAAAACGCGAGTAATTTTGTTTACGAAGTTGATGCGAGTTTGACATGGTTGGAGTATTTAAATTTGGAAAGGGTTACGTTGAAAAATTCGTTGAGGAGTTTTCGGGTGTTTGATAAAGATGAAGAAGTCACTGTTGAGTATGTAAAAAAATTTTTGCCGAATTCGAAACCGATCGCTTTCGTTAAAAAAGGCCCCCCAACTGAAATATTGCCCTACAAAGAATACGTGGAGCAAATGAAAAATAATTTTGCGTCATTTAAAGGTTTTGAATCGTTAGTTTTATTGCGCATATCCGATTGCGATTTAAACACTTTGTATTGGGAAATATTTGAGGGTTTAAGTAAGCTGGAATATTTAATTTTGGATCGAAATCATTTAAAATTTATTCCCGATTTCGCTTTTTATGGCGCCCCAAAATTAAAATCGTTGTCTTTAGCCCACAATTATTTGTTAAACATTCAATTAACACATTTAGCTGGTTTATTAGAATTGGAATATTTAGATTTGTCTCACAATAATTTCTCGGAATTGTCCGAATTATCTTTGCCACCATTTCCAAAATTAAAATTGGCCAATTTCGGCGATAACCCCGTTACGGTCATTTTCCCAAATACTTTCGAAGTTTTAAATACAACCGATTCAATTATTTTGGGGAGTGAAGAGACGCCTTTATCTTTGTTAACAAACTCTTTTGTCGGGTTAAAATTGTTAAAAAAATTAACAATACGTAATTTAAAAATTAAAGTTTTGCAAAAAGAAATTCTTGTGGGGATGCCAAGCTTAAAAGAGTTCATTTTAACCGGCGATATCCCAAAAATCGATTTTGATGCGTTTATGGAAGTAAATAATTTAGAAAAATTAATAATGAATCAATGTAATATCTCCCGATTATCCGTTGACACTTTCATGGGTTTAAATCGCTTAAAAATTTTAGATTTATCAAAAAATAACATCGATTTCATCCCCCCCGGGTTATTCGACATCTTACCCAACCTCCGCGAATTATATTTAAGCAATAACCACCTCAAAGAAGTTTCAAAAGGCATTTTCCCAAACACTTTAAGATTAATTCGCCTCGATAACAATCCCTGGCAATGTTCTTGCGATATGAGCGATTGGAAACCGATGATTATTAATCGAATTAAACGAAAAATAGCAAAAATTTGTAATCAAGAATTCGATAAAGGCATTTCTTGCGGCAAAGACACCTCATTCACTTACACATACATTTTTGAACCGAAAGTTGCCCCAAAATGTGCGTCACCGCCCGAATATATTAATCACAGCGTGTTCCACGTAATGAGAAAACAATTTAAATGTTCCGCTTATAAACCAAAACTTCGCAAAATTAAAAAGCAAAAAAATACTTCCCTTGAAGTTACCGCGAAAACTATCGATGTTTCTACAGAAAATTCTTATGTTTCCGACGAAGAAAACAATTTTAATAACAAACAATCGATTGAAACTAATCGTCACTCAATCGAGTTAAACAGACAATCAAATGAGCTACATAGACACTCAATTGAGTTAAATAGACAATCTAATGATTTAAACACATTTTTATCGTCTCAAAATAATCGGGATGTTTATAATAAATGGAACGGCGGGTTAAATTTTTCACAAAAAAGTGTTGAACTTAATACTAGAAACGGTATTAGAAAAAAAAAGTTTCGCAAAAATTCTTTTGGTAAAATTAAGAAAGTTTTATAAATAACCATTTTGTAATTATCATTGTATTTTTTATATTTCAATATATTTTAACAGATTTTTTATGTCTTTTTTAACCCTTTAAGTGCAGATTATTGAACTTAATTTACTGGACATAACTGGACATGATTTTGAAACGTAAGGGTATTATCTAATACAATTCTAATACAAATTTTTGCTGCGCAAGTTGAATGTTTACAATAAAAAAAAACCCTGCCTACCGACGAGTCTGAGAGATGTTGAAGCTTTGAATGGGTACTTTTCTTCGATTTCGGGACGATCTGCGGAGGTCGACCCGGACGTGCACAACTTTTATGCTAATAATGTCAGACCTGGTGTGAAAAATTTCTTTTTCCAAAAAGTAAATTAATCTAAGATCAATATTATCTTGACGAAGATGTCGAGTCAAGTGGTGGGGATTGATGGTATAAGCCTTAGGATGTTGGGTTTCTGTTGTCCACACATAACTCCCTACCTCCTGCATGTAATTAACTTTTGTTTAGAGTTTGGTGTCTTTCCTGAGAAATGGAAATCTGCCAAAGTTGTTCCTATACCTAAGTCATCGACTGCTTCTTCCTTCTCGGATGTGAGGCCAATTAGTATCTTAAGTACTTTGTCGGGAATTTTGGAAAGGGTCGTGGCGGAACAAATACGTGAGCACTTGGAACGGTTTCATATTCTGCCCTCCATCCAATCAGGATTTAGGCCTGGGTATAGTTGTGCAACCGCACTTTCGACAATTATTGATGATGTTATGTCTGCAACGGACAATGGCGCGGCTACTGTTTTGGTTTTACTTGACTTCTCTAAAGCGTTTGACACTATTAATCATCAACTTCTCTTAGCAATTCTTCATTATATTGGGTTCAATAATACAGCCTTAAATTTTTTTAATAATTATCTGTGCGGGAGAAGTCAGTATGTGGTTATTGATAATGATGTGTCGGATCCTGCCGTATTGAGGTCTGGTGTGCCGCAGGGCTCTACATTGGGTCCCCTTTTGTTCACTATCTATACGTCTCAAATGTTGATCTTTGACCGCTTTTGCTCAAAATTTCATATCTATGCGGATGACACACAACTTTACCACAGCTTTAGCTCAAATAATGTGCTAGAGTCTGTTGCAGATGTAAACAATGATCTAGATAAATTTTTAAATATTACTAAGAAACATGGTCTTTTGTTAAATGGGAATAAATCGGTCTATATGGTGTTCGGGGGTAGGGAATCCAAAGCGCTTGTCAGCAATATGGCCCATATCTTTATAGATGGAATTGAATTGGAGAGGAAGGTCTGTGTCAAGGATCTTGGTCTTTACATTGACGACAGCTTAAGGTTTACACGTAACACAAGTGAACTGATCAGGCGTGCTTACGCAAAATTGAAAATGCTGTTTGCTCATAGGCAAGTCTTGAACGCCGATATTAAAAAGAATCTTTGCGAGTCTGTAATTTTATCCAACTTTACATACTGTGACACAATTTACGGCCACTGCCTGTTGACTGATGATGCGCGACGTATTCAGGTAGTTCAGAATTCTTGTATTCGTTTTATATTTGGTATACGCCGACGTCAGAGAGTATCGTATAAGCTGGGGGAGTTGAAGTGGCTGAGTATGTCAAGTCGTCGTCGGTTACATTTTGGTTGTTTTCTTTATAAAGTTGTGTCAAGTAAACTACCACCTTACCTCACCAACAAAATTACTTACAGAACGGACATTCATAATATTAATGTACGGCGTAAGGACCTCATTGACATTCCTCGTCACCGTACCCAATTGTTCAAGAGGTCTTTTAGTTATAACGCGGCATGTATTTTGAATAAGTACAGTCTGCTTTTTGCTCAACCATCGTTTCGCACTTTTAAAGAGTCTCTGCGTCTTAAATTGCTTAATGACTAGCGCGTCGTTCTACCTTCAACTCGAATTAGTGTATATATATATATTTTTTTTTTTTTTAGTTTGTTAGGGACATTTATTAATTTTTATTTGTTTAGGCTCCTCATTTTTTATATTTTTTTCGTTTTTTACTTATCGGCCACGATAATTGTTTCAGGTTGAATTTAATTTTGATTTGTTATTACTTTATTTTGTTTTTTTTTTATATTTCTTTTTTTTTGTGTATGGGATTTCCAGGAAGACCAGGACGCCATAATTTGGCTTACTGATGGAAATACCCTTTGGCAAACTCTATACTTAGTTATTTTAATGTATTACCTATATTGTATTGTTATGCCAATAAACTATTATTATTATTATTATTAATTCCCAGAAATTTTACGGTTACAGTTTTTCTGTGTATACCTTATTCTGTAATATTGTATTTTAAAAATGATGTGTCATCAGCATATTGTAATGTAATTGCTGTCTATAAATTTATTGGTAAATCGTTGGTGTATATAATATATTGCAAAGGACCAAGCACTAAACCTTGCGAAACACCTGTACGATCTGTTAGATAGGATTCCATTATTTTATTAGCAACGCCTCTTATGCCATAGTAGCTTAACTTTCCCAACAGTATCTTGTGGTCAACTGCGGTCACAAAATAGTGCTTCATCTTTTTATCAAAAGCTTATAATATAGATTCGATAATGCTTGCCCCTGCAGTTATCGTCGATCTTTGTCTGCGGTAGCAGGTGTGATTTTCGTTCCACATACTGCCGCTATCAAAGTATTATAAGTATTCTGCTGTCTGTGTATACTGTGATATCGTCATATCAAATATTGTATAAGACTTCCTTGAATATTTCTTCAGAGTAGTGGTTGAATAAAAGTGGAGAAAGAATGCAGCCTCGAAGAATTTTAATTGCAAATTTCTGTATTGATCTTAATGGTAGTTGACTGGTTCCTGTAGGAGTTTCGTTTGATCCTCCATCTCCATGTACTCCGAAACCTCCACCATCTTTTCATTCTCTGATGGATGATTTTAAGAAATAACTGGAATGTTTCCATTTATTAAATATGTTAGTCAAGAATTTAATAGATTTATCATCAAAAAGCTAGATTCTGAGTACATTTCGTCTAATCCCAGAGCTTTTCCTTCTTTTAAAGTGAGAATGACGACTTTGATTTAATTTGTTATGATATTAAGTCCAGATTAAGATCAATTTAAACTCATTATCTCATAAATGTTGTATGGGAATAAGATCTTGTGGTTGTGGAGGTGTGTAACTGATGAGAAACATAAAATATTGTACAAAGAGAGAGAACTAAAAAGAAAGGAAGAAAGATACTGGTTAAGCACGTTTAAAAAAAAATTGTATATTTGAAGAGTTTAAGGAAATAACACGTGTTTTATACCTTTAATGTGAAATAAAAGTTGTAACTGTAAGTAGAAACATAACTAAAACATAAAAAATCGATTAATAGTTAAATATTAAATGTTGATTAAATAATTACAATTTAATTCTAGCTATGTTAGTAGCGTTTTATCGTGATCTTTTAAATCATTTTATGCATTCTTCTATCCGTATACACACCTTACTATAGAGGTAATATTTCTTTTTGTCTTTTAATAACTTAATTAATATTTTTTTTAGCCAACATAAATTTCTACTACAATTTGTATCTACAGTTCTTGCATACATAACAATCTCGTTTATGTTAATAATTAATATAAAGTGTTAAGCTATTAATTAATATAGCTTTAAGCAGAATTGGAACAAAAATGCTTTTATATAAAAACATTATCAGTTGCACAAATGTCTTTATTAAGGTAACAAAAGTTAATTTAAAAAAAATTACTCTTACATTTTTTTTAGGAAATGTTAACTACTCACACGTTTTTAAAGGATCATAAACTTCCCCTTAAAATATTATCAACAATTCTCGCTTGCTTAACACTATTCTTATTAGCTCCAATTATTTTAATTTGTTTAATTAAAAATAACTTGATCAAATTATTTTTGAATCTTCGTTACGATGGAAAATGTGGAATCGTTTCGGGCGTGGATTCATATTTTGAATGTATAAAGAATCAACCTTCTTATGTGAGCATAATAGAACATTCTGGATCAATCGAAGAATTACAAACTATCATCAAAAAATCTACAAGTCGCTTATTACAATCCCATTATAAATTTTCAAGCACAATTCATAACATTTTTGGAGTATATTATTATTTAAAAAATCAAGTTTTTTTAAATGATGTATTTTCCATAGAAAATATTGATGTTTCGAGTAAAGATCTTCTTAAAAATTATTTGGAAAAGCATTGTTTTTCCGATTTTGGTGATAAATCGTTATGGAAAGTTGTACTGTTTGAAACTTCGATAAAATGGAACGAAATGGATAACTCAAAAACTTATTACGCGATTTTAATCAGATTTAATCATTGTTTGGGTGATGCAATAGCTTTATCGATGTACCTCCAACAATACTTCTACAACAACGTTAAAAGCAAATATTTCGAAAAATTAAGAAACAATTCAAAAAGTAAAGATGTATTTAATAGAAGCAACTTAGGAAGTCTTTTATTTCCTGGCTCTAAATTAAATTACACCGAAATAAATTTATTCCCATCTCACCAAAAATTAGCTATGTTTAACGAAGATGAACCAAGATACATCCATTTAATTAAATACATAAGTAAACAATTAAATTGTTCTTTTACGGATGTTATTACAATTTGTGCTATGTCGAGTATCACTAATTATTTAAAATTGGTAAGTAAAAAAACAAAATGATTTTGAATAATAATTTATAATACTAATTTTAGGAAGGAGTTAAAACCACAAACTTCATAGTTGCGAACACATCAAGACCTCGCCACGGAGATAATATCAATTTTATTTTGGAACAGAAAGAATTATCAAATAATTTCACAATAGAAGCTTTTAATTTGCCACTAAAACAGCAAAATATATTAATCAGATTTAAAGAAATTTTGCCTATTTTAACGGATGGAAGAAATTCTGACACGGCACAAGTACCAAAATTAATTTAATTAATCAACACATTTTAATTTATAATTCTAGATTATTTATTGGATTACAAAGTTATTATCGTTCTTACACCCAAAATTATTGAGGAAAATTACTCGTTTAAACTCAATAGGGACCACATTGGCAATCACAAATATCCCATTTGCCGATTATTGCAAAATCGGGACAAGTGCGGTTAAAACTATATTCGCATTCCCTAACAATTTCGAAAATACAAGTGAGTAACTGTTAAATCGAACGAATTCACATCATTCGAAACTTTTTTTTAAGAATTCCTTTTGGTGGTGTCCACGTTTCAAGATAAATTACAAACCATCCTGATTACAAAAAAAAATCTAAAGGTATCTGGGGAAAAACTACAAGAAATATTAAACAATTGTTTTTTAAATATTAATCGTCTTTATGAGGAAGTGAAATTAAATGAAATTAAATAATTAGTGTTTATCAAAATTTTGGAATTAATTTTATGAAATAAAAATTTTGAAGAAAATGACCTTTGCTTCTGTTATGACGGAATTATTCTTGATAATAATAATAAATCCATTATTGCCTAATTAATTCATACAAGTATTACAAACAAATATTTCAGTAGCAAACATTTCACTTTTTTTTAATGTCTTCTATGTCATTAGTTTCATATTCTCTGGTAATTTATTATACAGAGAGAAACCTGATGTTTAGGTGGCCGATACACTTTTGCATTTTTAGTTTCATAATAATGAACATTAAATCCTTTCTCCCATTGCTCCTCTCTCTCGCTTATGTGCATAATACACACAAATATACAGGGTGTATCTGAATGACATGCCCAAACTTCAGGGTGTGATTCTTTAGGCAATTTTAAGGGTACTTTGATATATAAACCATGATCGACTTGCGCTCCCCTAAGGAGCTACACCCCTCCAAAAATGGCGAAAAATTTTGGTTTAATTTTTTTTTCTCAAAAACCATAAACGCTAGGACAACGAAATTTGGGGAATATGTTTAACTGGTAGTAGGGCACGTTTTCACCCTATTTGTATTTTCAACCTATCCTTCTAAACTACTAAACGTAACCACCCCCTTTACATTTTTGCTAAAATTTTTTTATGCAGAGGGTAAATACATTAAAAAAAAATTACATAGGTAGATGAAAGTATCCTAAAACTTTTTTGTCTCTCTAAAATTTTTCCAAAAACGACTAATTTTTGAGAAAAAAAATAATAAAGCAAACACTGCCCGTTCAACAACGGGGTTGTCGATCAAAAGTTGGAATGAATTTTTAATGAAAAAATCTTAGTAGGCTTTGCAATCTTTGTCAGAAATATTTTTGACGTTTAAATGTCAGTGGTTTTCTTACTATTATTATTGTTTTTCAAATTAATTTATGAATAAAGTTCTACCGCATTTACGCTCGTTCACTCGACGTTTCAAAATTTTAAATAAAACAATAATAATAGTAAGAAAACCACTGACATTTAAACGTCAAAAATATTTCTGACAAAGATTGCTAAGCCTGCTAAGATTTTTTCTTTAAAAATTCATTCCAACTTTCGATTAACAACGCTACAGCTTAACAGTTAGTGTTTGCTTAATTAATTTTTTTCTCAGAAACTATTAACTTTTCGAAGAACATCAGAGAGGCAAAAAAGTTTTAGAATATTTTCGTCTATCTAAATAAAATATTTCCAATGTATTTATCATCGTCATAAAAAAGATCTAGACAAAAATTGAACGGGGGTGGTTATGTTTAGTAACTTAGAAGGGAAGATTGAAAGTACAAATAGGCTCGAAACATGCCCTATTATAAGCTAAACATATTTTCCAAATTTCATTTTCTTGGTGTTAATGGTTTTCGGGAAAAATAAAATAAACCAAAATTTTTCGCCATTTTTGAAGGGGCGTAGCTCCGCAGGGGAGTCGAAATCGCCGATAGTTTATATGAGAAAGTACCCTTAAAATTGCCTAAAGAACCACCCCCTGAAGTTTGGGCACGTCATTCAGATACACCCTGTATATTCTGCTGGGATGGTAAGTATATTACTTTTGAATATATTCCTATAGCTTTCCTTAGAATTTATTTTTTAAGGGCTGTTTTTTCTTACTGCTTCTTTTTGTTTTATAAATATTTTCGTGCATGAAGAGATGCATACCATAGAAGGATTTCGTATGTTGCAGCAAATAGTAAAAAATAAGCCTGGCGAGCCAATTCATACGATGTTCACAGATGGATCAAAAACACCGGAAGGGGTCGGAGCAGGAGTATACTGCCAGACACTTAGAATTAAGCAAGCCTGGATACGTACTTTACTGTTTCCAGGCGGAAGTATTTGCTATTGACATGGATGCTAAAATCCTTCTTGAGAGAGGTGAAGAACATGACAGTACGAATTTTCTCAGGCAGTCAAGCCGCTCTCCAGGCGTTGTAAGCCGTGAAAACAGTGTCGGTTCTGGTTAATGATTGTAAGAGAACATTAAACACACTGAGTTTTGATAAGAGAGTTTCTCTGATCTGGGTCCCGGGTCACTCTGGGGTTGAAGGGCAGATAAGCTAGGACGATAGGGCAGCGCTAAAGCGTTTGTGGGGCCGGAACCAGCAGTTGGTGTAGCATTTGCGATGGACAAATATAGACTGTGGGCTGAAGAGAGATTTCGCCTACTGTGGACCAGTTCTCTTGGAATGAGACATGTTAAGATGTTTATTAACATCGCCCTGTCAAACCCGCGAATATTTTAGGACTTGCCTGTAGCAGCATAAAAGTTCTAATGGGTGTCTTTACTTGTTGGATTTAGAGGAAGCAGAGACGATTGAGCATATTTTATGCCACCGCCCTGCCGTTAACTATATCAGATTCTCGATTTTTGGGTCGCAGTTTATCTCCTCAAAGCATCTGAATGACTTTTCACTGAGCAAGGTATTAATGTTCGTTAAGAGCATTGGACTGCACAGTGAATAGATCTTTAGGGTCGCGGTGCAAGGTCGGTTGGTCCGCCTACCTGATATGTAGTCTATGTAATGTAATGTAATCTTTAAAACATTGATTGAATTATTTCTTGAATTCAATGCTTAAATTAGCCAAAAGAACCGAAGCTTTATTTCCTTACTTAATTTTAAACAATTTTTAATTAATTTTTTTAGGTAATTCACGTTATAAGAGATCCAAAACAAGTCTCAGTTTCTTATTATCACCATAACAGACTTTTAATTGCGCTTAATGAAAAAGATTCTTTTAAAATTCTATTTAAAACAATGCCATTTAGCAAATCTTTTAATAAAAAGTCCAAAAAGTATCTCAATGTTTCAAGAAAAACTACTCTGAAGAGGAAATGAGGAAAGGTACTATGGAGAGCTACAAAAAAGAACTTAGAGATGAAGATATTGATAAATTAAATAAGATGATTAATGAAAATATTAAAAGATATATATAATATAATTACCTCTTAATAAAGTAGCTCCAGAACCACGATAAATACTTTTAATACCACCTTCTTTGTAAAGTTTTTTTGCGCAATCAACGGGACCATCGTAAGTTTTAGTCTTGGCATCTTGTTGAATTTGCAAAAGGCACTTAATCCTTTCCCCAGGTGCCATAATACTGGTGGTGAAAATCCCCGAAAAAGCCCCAGCGGTGAAATAATTCATATAAGTGAATTGAGTTGGATCCGTGGGGCCAAAAATTTGTTTTCCCACTCGATAGCCCATAAATGATATGGCAAAAATTGGTGCTACACCGGCTAAGGGTGCTCCCATCCCTTTGTAAAATCCTCGAAACCCTTCATTTGCAACCGTTTTTTTCATACAATCGAATGTGCCACCATATAAAGCTGCTTCACCTGGTTTTGGTATTGGCATAGTTTGTAAACGAACCTGTTAATAAAAAAATTATTAAAAAAAAATTTTTATATGAACTTTGACCCATTTATTCTAATAGATAGTATCAAAGTCTGGGGTTATTTATATTTTTAGGTTAGGTTCTACCTTTATGGTATCGAAGGGGTGCCCCACGAGTACCGTGCAGATTCCTCCAACACCCCCACACAGGAAATACTCAGCTGGTCCCAAATCACCCATTTGTGCTATGTTTTAACAAATTGCTCCAACTATCTAGCAGAATTTCTGGTCGAAATGGCAGTGACAACCTCACTCGGTGCTCTAATACGAATTGAATGAATTGAATTTTATCTTAATGATAACACGATGATTGGCATATTTCTAGTTATTGTTTTGTAATAACAAGAATTACTTACTCAACTACTTTTAGATTAATTTTTAAGAAAAATTCGTTTACAACTTAAATAATTGGGAATCGTTTTAAAAACTTAAATCAATTTTACGTATATCTAATAGATGGCGACACTAAAAGAATGTTACTTTCATTTTATTTAGACAAAACTTTCGATTTTAAACTACTAATTTTGATTTTTATCGACCTAATTGATTACTTTAATTAATAATTGGTGATATTTAAACAAGGATCTTTCAAGAAATTAATTGTATAGCGAATTTTGAAAATTATCGGTGAAAATTGCATCAAAACTTCAAATATTGTTTTCTCAAAAACTAAAACTTATTTTTCAAAACGGGTTGGTTCATTGGAAAGAGGACACTTTTATTAACACTTTGGAAAATTTTCATATTCATTTTCCAAGAAATGGATTTTATAGGAATTTTTAAAACTTATTCGGCAAAAATTGCAAAATTCGAAAAAATTTCGATCATTTCAAAAATTTATTTCTCAAGAACTAAAAGTGATTTTTCAAAACGGCTTTTTGCATTAAAAAGAGAATACTTTAATTAATAATTGGTGATATTGCCAGAAGGATCCTTCAAGAAATTAATTGTATAGCGAATTTTGAAAATTATGATGACGTAATAAATGCTAGAAATAAAAACTTATGTATTATTCTGATACTATTGGATTATAGTAAAGCATCCTGCAGTGTGTGGTTCGGCGATCAATTTGATTTCGAGTTTCTTGTCCAGGCGCAGCCAGGTTGTTAAAGTAGGTAATGTTCTCAATTTAGACTTCCCTTCATGTCTAAAACACTTAAATGTTCACATGTATGCTGATGACACTTAACTGTATGTTTTTTTTCCAAGACATGCTCATGATTCGACCTGCTTGCTTATAAATGAAGATTTCAAATCGCTAAAATAGAAGTTTTTCCAGAAGCAAGGAATCTTAACCAACTATTTATGGTTCTAATTTTAAATTAATTACTATTGATGTTGAATAAGCAACAATTGAAATATTTATTATGAAAAATATAGAAAATTACAACATACTTAATTAAATATAAAATAGTAAATAACTGAGATTATTGTTTTTCCACTGACAATAAGTTCCCTAAATCTTTAATTTCGACAGTGACTTGAGCAATATTTGACTGGAGAGATCTGCTTTTGATTTCAAGGACTTTCATGGATTTCATCAAACCCTTTGTTTTGTTTTCGTAGGATTCTCGATCAGCGATAAAGTCCTTATTGTACCTAAAATAACAAATTAATTTTTAAAAAATAAATAAAAATGATTCTCACTGATTCGCAGTATCCACGTATAATTTCCTGCTATTTTCCACATATTCTTTGGAATTTGCAATCCTTTCGTTTGTTTGTGTTAATTTTCCTTCTAACTTTTTAATGTTTGCTTTATGTTCCTCAATAGTTGACTTTGTGCCATTATATTTCCTGTTAAAAAGTTATATTTAGCACTGTAAAATGTTTTGATTTAATAATTAATTACTGGTGTACATCTGATAAAGCCATCGAAATATTCGAAAGATGTTTCTCAAGTCTTGCATGTTCTTTCTTTAATTTTATAAACTCCCCAACGTTTACTTCCGATTTAAATACTTTGTGGAGTTCCCCAATGTTTATTAGGACATCTTGATCACACTCATATTGAGTTGAAACATCTCTTTTTTCACACTCAATGTAGGAAGTTTCATCCATAGTTTTTGAAGGGCTAAAAAAACTAAATAATAACTATTAAATTATTGAGTTTCATTCAAAAATTTCATACTTACACTGTTTCATCAAGATTTTGGTCCTTATCACCGTTTTCCATCTTTAACTTTTTGATTACAATAACCGCTGATCGTTTGAAAGGACTCGTTAATCACGTTGAATGAACCAACGTGTACGCCATCTATTATTTGGGGGATAAAACATATTTTTTTAATGTTAAATTTGATTTCGTTCAATTTCTTTGTAATGTTCCTTCTTTCTGCCTACTTTGTTAATGTTTTTTGTGGTTTTAAACTTTTCTGCGCATACAATTTGTATGCCCAGAACTCGAAATTACAGAATTCTTTTTAAAAATTGCTGAGAGAAGTAGTAACTTTTATTTTAAGAGGTTGATATGAGTTTCCACTAAAATCAAACAGAAACGGCCAAATTCAAGTCTGCGGAAACGATTTTTTGTATCGGAAAAATTCCATTCAAGCGAATATATCTGTAGTGCACGTGTTTTGTGAATAATAAGAGTGTTGTATGCGTTTTAGTCGAAATAAATGAGCGAAATGGATGAAATAGTTGATAATTCCATAGAAACAAAAGAAAACGTTCATCAATCCTTGAAATTAAACGAAAACAAGGTAAAGAGAAGCAGCATTTTGGTGTCGAAAAATGAATCTTTGCAACAAGAGACGAAATGCAGTCGAAGAAGTGATGAAATGGATCGTCTCAATCATTTATTTGAAACTTTGAGTATCAGATCGTTGAGTGAAGGAAGGGAAATCGAAGAGTTTACTTCAGATTTAATCCAAGATGAATTTGAATTAAGGAAGGATATGAATAATGAGGATTGTAATCTTGACAATCAAAAAATTAAAGAAAATGTAGAGAATCATGAGATGGCCACTAAGAGTGAAGAAACCACCATGAAATTGATTAATTATCCAGAAGAAGGAGAATGTAATCAAAAAATAAAGAATTTAGATGGAACTTTATTTATTAATATGGAAAATAAGCAAGAAGAATCTAATAAGACAATGAATTTGAATCAAACTATAGAAATTGATGGAAAAATGACAAAATTAAATGAAACTTTGGAGATTAATACCAAAAATGTACAAGATGAATCATCCCAGAATCATGACATTACCATGAAATTGATTAATTATCCAGAAGAAGGAGAATGTAATCAAAAAATAAAGATTTTGGATGGAACTCTGGTTATTAATGTGGAGAATAAGCAAGAAGAATCTAATAAGACAATGAATTTGAATCAAACTATAGAAATTGATGGAAAAATGACAAAATTAAATGAAACTTTGGAGATTAATACCAAAAATGTACAAGATGAATCATCCCAGAATCATGACATTACCATGAAATTGATTAATTATCCAGAAGAAGGAGAATGTAATCAAAAAATAAAGATTTTGGATGGAACTCTGGTTATTAATGTGGAGAATAAGCAAGAAGAATCTAATAAGACAATGAATTTGAATCAAACTATAGAAATTGATGGAAAAATGACAAAATTAAATGAAACTTTGGAGATTAATACTAAAAATGTACAAGATGAATCATCCCAGAATCATGACATTACCATGAAATTGATTAATTATCCAGAAGAAGGAGAATGTAATCAAAAAATAAAGATTTTGGATGGAACTCTGGTTATTAATGTGGAGAATAAGCAAGAAGAATCTAATAAGACAATGAATTTGAATCAAACTATAGAAATTGATGGAAAAATGACAAAATTAAATGAAACTTTGGAGATTAATACTGAAAATATACCAGATGAGTTATCTCAGAATCAAGAAATTGTCATTAAGACTAAAGAAGTTGAAGAAATAAATAATTTAGATGAAACTCTGGTTATTAATAACCAAGAAATCTTATCCCAAAGTCTTGAATTGGTCACTAAACCCAAAGAAATTGAAGAAAACACCGTGGATTTAATAAAAAATTGTGCTGATGAAGGAAATCTTAATAAATCTAATAAGACAATGAATTTGAGTCAAACTATGGAAATTGATGCAGAAAATATTAAAGAAAACGCCGATGATTTTGAGATTAACACTGAAAATATACCAGGTGAGTTATCCCAGAATCAAGAAATTGTTAAGACTGAAGAAATCTCCATGAAATTAAATGATAATACAGAAGAAGAAGGATGTAATCAAGAAATAAAGAATTTAGATGGAACTTTGGTTATTAATGCAGAGACTATTAAATCTAAAGAAACTGAGGAATCTAATAAATCTAATAAGACAATGAATTTAAATGAAACTATTGATGTTGATGAAAAAAATGTGGAAGAAGAATCATCTCAATGCCATAAGACTAAAGAAATGAATTGTAAAAAGAATTTAGATGAAACTCTGGTTATTAACAACGAAGAAAAATTATCCCAAACTCCTAAAATGGTGAATCCTAATAAATCTGACCAAAAACTTAAAAATTTAAATCAAACTTTAGATATGAATACAGAATGTAGTGAAGAAAAATCATCCCAGAGTCAAGAAAATTTGATTAAACAAGAACAAATTGAAAAGACCACCAAGAATTTGGTGAAATGTCGCCCACCAATTTCAAGAAAAAATCTGATAAAAAATTTAAATCAAACTATAGAAATTAAAACAGGCCAAAGTCATAAAATCGATTCACAAAAAACCAAATTAAACGAAACTTTCAACGCGGAAAATAATAAAGATGTTGATAAAGAGTTAAAAAAATTACCCAAAAAAATTAAAAGGAGCGACACCATAGTGATTAAACCCCGAAATGACGACGCTGGTTCGTCTAAAAATTTCGGCGATTCAGTTAAAAACGTAGAATTAAATGAAACGTTGGTTATTAAAACTGATAAAAGCGAAATGAATGAAACACTGTAAGTATTAAAAAGGAATAAGAAATTCCTTAATTTCTAATTAATTTATTTTTTTGGTTATTTTAGTCCCATTAAAGATATAAAAAAAAAATTATTTAGAATGAAAAAAGTTGAAATGGTTAATTCTTCAACTCAATGTGATCAAGCCGAAGGGGTCGAAATCGAAGGAAGCGTTAAAAATCATTCGAAATCATTGAAAGATTACGAGCAAAACTTGTTTCAGCAAATTTCTGAAGTGGCCACTATAAAGGAAGAATTCACCACAAAACAAGAACTTTTAGTTAATTTAGAAAGTGCCTTTTCAACTGCTCATGAGTAAAAAATCATTTAAAAAAATACCACTTAATTAACACAAAATTATTTTAGAAAATACGAACGTTGTAAATCCGTCGCAAATGTTTACAAAAGTAATGAAGAGGCTTTGAGGAAATCTTTAGCTGAGGCAGAGGAAAAACTGAAAGGGGGTATGAACACCGAACGCAATGTTAAATCGCAAATTGAAAAATGTCTTAATGAGTAAGTTAGCATTAAAATTTTATTATTTTTATGTAATTTTCGGTTATTTGTGTAGGTATTACGGACAATTGATGTCAAAACGTGATGAATACGCAAGAGAATTGAGAAAAACGGCTAAAACTGTGAAAATATTGGAAATAAAAGTGAAATCATTAGAAACCAATTTGGCGCAAAAATGTGAAGAAAGGGATAATTTAATGAGTGTTTTAAACGATTCCGTTAGGCACTAAATAAAATAAGTTAAAATAAATTATTATATTTTTGTTTAATCGTTTGTAATAAAAATTATTATTAATCTGAATCTTAAATGTAATTGATTAAACGTCGAGGTAAATGCAGTAAAAACAAACAGTTCTACGAGAAAATTAAATTTATTGGTCAGACTTTGTGATTCAATATTTAGATTTAATACATTTTCATTATGGTGTGTGCTAATGCCGTTTTATAGCAGTAACAATTTTTATTTCCTGACTAATTATACCATTAATCAACATGTACAAAGCACTATACAATATGTACAATAATTAACGTAATAACAGTTTTCTTTTTTTACTATGTAGCGATGTCTTTAAAGTTCGAACAGTTTTTTTTTTATTTCAGAAAAAGGACGAGATGCGGGAACGTTTTTTTGCGGGCTTTTTGAGGTGAAGTTAACTCTTTATTTTTTATCTTTCCTATTTCTCATTCGATTTATTTATTTTTTGTTTCAACATGTAGACGGTAAACACAATTTTACAATACATTTTTTTGATGCATTTTTCAGAGGAGGGTCGCTTTTTTTAAAGACACGTCGCGGAAACGCGTATTACGGAATGATTTCATCAAAAAAGATTTTTTTCTTTTACTTACGTTTATTTTTAATCTACGACAGAAATGGCGTTTGCCGCAACGGCTCATTACCTTCATTTTTTTTAGACGATTTCATCGTATTTACATTTTATTTCTTGACCGTGCAAACTAGGAAATATGTTTTAAAAAAAATGCAATTAAACGTCCCAGATTTTTTTTTAATTATTTACACTTATCTTTTTTAATCTCTATCCAAAAATAAAATAAAAGTCGTTTTTATTTCAAGTGATAATCCCCAAAACAACGAAATATATATTGTTTTGGATAGAGAATTACATAGTGATTACGTTTTTTTTCTTTAAATAAATAATAGGAGTCGTGAAATAATAAAAAAAAATGCAATAAGAAGCGATTATTTGTCCGTAAATTATTGCGTCTTACATAACAGTGGAGGGATAAAAATACAGATTAAAACAAAAATAAAAAGAGCGAAACGTTTTTACGTTTTAAAAATAAAAAATAGTGCTTTAGCACTTAAAAAAAAATAATCGACACGATAAATAGATAATGATCGAAAGAAAAAAACAGTCTAATAATTTTATAAAATTATCACTTTCTTCGTGAGCCTTAAAATACTATGACCTAAAACAGTTTGATCATTTTTGGATCACAGATATGCACCTGCACGGGGGCAGTCTCCACCTAACTTTCACTATATTGCGGCACGACGAGAGTTCGCGGCGCGTACGGATCGCGACTATACATTTCCGGTGGTTCTAAATGGCACACGACCGTTTCACCATCTAAAACGGCCGCTAACGCTCTTCCAACGGCAGCATCTCCACCGCCAACGCGACGATTGAACCGAAACGGTTCTCCATCATTAGTATACCGATTTAGTTCTTTGGCTTGATGTTTAGGCAACGTTTCAGCAGCGCACGGTTGATAACCTCTCTCCGTTGGGGAATAAGGAATCAGCGGCCTATGATCCCCATAAGATCTAGACGACTGTCGACTCATATCGCTCTGTCGCTTACCATCTTCATCACTCATATCAGACACTTGCACATCATTCCTTTCAATTTCTTCATAAACCGGATCATCCTCTGGCATCAACCCGCGATGAAGACGAGCGTCGTGGATCTCTTGATAAGTATGATTCCAAGGGCTGGTAGTACGGAGCAAGCTGCCGTTCTTTTTACGAACGCCGTGTTGTAACGGTAAATGTTTCGGATGAGATAACGCGAAATCTTGAACTTCGTGAGGTTGCAAGTTGTTGCTAATCGATTGGTTGTATTCGATCGGAACGAACGGTTGCCGACGCGCGTCTTTCGCGTTGTTTAATAAAGCTTGGGAACGTGGCGATTCTTCTTGTTCGGATCCGCCGTGGCCGGAATCACGGCTGTATGACTTAAAAGAAATGTTCTATGAGGAAAAAAGTAATGTTATAATTAGATAATTAAAAAAAATAATTCATTTTGAGACAAACAAATTTTTTTCAGTCAACTACCACCAAAAGCAACTAATTCTGAAACATCTTATTTTATTTTCTTTTTAATTGATTAGTAATAATAAAAAAAATAAGATGTTTCTTAATAAAATATTTTTATGATAGATTGCATAAAAATAGATGTAAAGATAGAGAAAAAAAGACCTCTACAATGGCAACCAACCAAAATCACACACCCAGTTACGCACCTTCCAATGTAGAGGTTTATGAAGAGGGCCCCACGTAGATACAGATTTAGATATGTTGGAATTGACAGTGGAGTTTTTATAGAAATTACGAATATAGGGCAGGGTGGACGTGTTCGGGGTGGTGGTTTCGAGGGTGGCGGGCGATGACGCGTCAGGGCCGCGACCCGTGGGGCGCAACGGGTGAGGCGACACACTGGCGTCCGCCGCCGAACCGGATGTCGGCGCGAATATTTTGCCCTTTCGACTCATGCTTGTGCAGCTGCGAGAACTCCAGTTCCGTTGCAACTGCAAAACAATTTTTTTCTATTTTTTTCTTCATCACCCTCCCGCAAATACGTCACATATATTTTTTTAGTTTCAAGATTTTATTTTGGAATTAAGTGCAAGGCTACAAGGAAAGCAAGTCTAACTTGGATAAAACAGTTAATGCTCTCCAGTTGTTAGTTAGCTTACGATGCATGCCGGCGATAGCGGAGAATATTTTTTTATATATAGGAAGGACAGCAATGAATGCACCACCACGGTACCACAGATCCGCGTCGGTTTCCGGTTCCTTCTGATCTAGTTAGTAAGCAGCTCAACTTTTTATTAATTTGTGTATTTACAACTACAGGAGTAAGTATTTATAAGTTTTAGACTTATTCTTGGATTGTTAGTATATCAAATAAAAAATAAATACTTATTCCCACATTTATACAGAATGTTCCATAATTACAACTACTCTAATTACGGGATATCCTGCGTAATTAAAAGCTAAAAAGGTAAAATTTTAATTTAAACCGGGAAGAATTAAGATTTAAGAAGATATATGAAGGCGAGAGAAGTTTGTGTAAAAACTGCTGCGTAACCAAAGCACTTTTCTTGATTTTTTTAGGCTGTACCTTGTTGAGAGGACATATTGAGCAGTCGGTTGTGGTTGTGGTTGGTCGTGGTGGTACTAGCATTGTTCAGATCGGTTCTCGAAAGAACCTGGAGAAGTGCAGTCGGTCGCACGTTATTTAGGTTATTGGGCGTTACGAGATTGTTGATACCCACGCTAGTTCCGTGAGGCGACAGCACCGAGTTGTCCGTCGAGTGTGAGTTCGGCCCGGATTGGTTTCCATTAGAACCATCGTAAAGACTCGTCCTGCGCTCTTTATTCATCCCCGTACTATCGCTGCTACTACTCGATCCATTTGGCTTAGAACAACGTAGACATTTTGGCAACCAAGAATGTTGCATTATGAATTTTCGATATTCCTTTCGAACCTTCCAAAAAAAGTAAACACTTTTAGTCTCAAAATCGAATCAAAATTAATACTCATTACCTTTTCATTTTGAACACAGTGGAATAAAAATATAAAGCATCCTTGTAATGAATTGAACACGGTGAATAAATAAGCCATGACGACGGTTTCTTGGTTCAGATATAACAGGCCGAAAGTCCAAGTTAATCCTAGCAAAACCACCAAACACACGGCTCCCTTTAACCACGTTCTGAAATAAAAATTAATCTTTATTACTAATTTATATAATTGCATTAAAAATAAATATATACAATTAAAAATATTTAGAAACTAACAAAGAGGAAATTATCTCGACATATAATAAGATCAAAATGAGTTGTAACCAATGTAGCAAAAAAATTATGCTCTAGACGTCTTAATTATTACAGTGTGTTTGATTTTAGTTATCACAACAGATATTTCGACTACTGTTGGAGATGTGACAAAATGTTGATCCATACTTAATATTGTATCTTTTCGAATTTAATATTCTATCTCGGCCGACTTCGAAGACGTCGGCCGCCTTAAATGTTGTTGATGATACTTACACGAACTAAAATTAATTAACTTTTTATGATAAAACTTTTTGCTCTTAGATCCATAAAAATCGGGAAAACTTCAAAACTATGAAAATTTGACCAGTATTATACTTAGCACTTGGGGCGGCCGACTTCGAAGACGTCGGCAGTCCTAAATATTGTTCGTGATACTTGGGTTGGATTGAGTTCAGTTGGTTTGGGTTGCAAATAGGCGAAGATCATGCTCTCAGAACAGAACCCAACCCAAGTATCACGAACAATTCTTAGGGCGGCCGACGTCTTCGAAGTCGGCCGAGATTATTTCTGTTGATATAGGTAATAATCTCGGCCGACTTCGAAGACGTCGGCCGCCATAAGTATTGTTCGTGATGGAGCATGATCTTCGCCTGCAACCCAACCTAAGTATCAAGAACAACACTTAGTGCGGCCGACGTCTTCGAAGTCGGCCGAGGTTATTTCTTCCATAAATTGCAAGCAGGTTAAGATAAATAATCTCGGCCGACTTCGAAGACGTCGGCCGCCCCAAGCATCATGAACAATTCATAGTGCGGATTTATTGAAGTGGAGTAACTTTCCTTCTATAACATTTTGTCAAATCTCCAACAATAATCAATAGAAGCAAATATGACACAACAAATGCAATATAAATAATAAAAAATTTTATAGTACGGAGAAAAGCATAGAATGTGCTTAACAGAGACAAAATGAGTGATCTACGGGTAAGAAACGTTAAATATAATATCTTACAACGGGTTTTGAAATTTGGATTGTAGTGCATTTTCTTCCTTTCCGCTACCATAGGGTAGGACGGCCATGCAATAAGAGAAGAAACGTTATTAGAACGGGTACCGACACCAAAAAAATTTAGATTCGTTTCATTATTGTAAATTATTTCGTTTAAAAACAAGTCGAGCAACCAACACTCATGCTAAAGAAACACTCATAACAATATTAAAACATCGCCCTTACCTTGTACTGGCCAACTTAGAATGCTCTTTATTTTTAATCGATACATTTGAGGTTGAGTGGCGACACATCATTACAATTGCCATCCCTAAGAATAAAACATTCGCCTAAAAAATAAAAAAAATTTAATTACAATTTACAAAACAAAAATTAATTAATTTACCAATAAAATTAAAATCACAGGACCTACAAAACTATAAATAAAATAGTTTTCCGGTTTCAGCCAACAATATTGATCCGTCCCATATCCTTGCGGAAAAATAATGGCAGATACTATTACGATTATTAAAGGTATAACGTAGGACGTGATGTAGTAAAATCGAATCCTAGATTTTTCTACTTCAAACACTTCTATTAACATTACGTAGATTTGGAAGCCTAAAACCGACTTTTTAATAAAACAAAATCACCTTCAAAATTCTTACCTTCGAAAAACATCCAAAAGAACGCGCACAAAAAGAAATAGTGCAAAAATCCAGCAATTATTGAACACGCCGTGTGATAATCAGTGCGATTTATGCCAAATAAAAATATTATTTCTGCCACCAATAAGCAGAAGCATAAATTGGAATGTATAGTGGTTCGATCACTCTAAAAAATTTTTTTCTTCAACTAAAAAACATTATTAAACTATCTTTAACAAACCTTTAATCCTCTAAATAATTGGAAAGTAACTATAACTAATATTAAGCAAATAATCGAGATAATACACCCGATATAAGTTATAATTTGCAAGGCAACTTGATGCCCATCCGGTAAGTACACAGCATGAACGTCCATGAGTATGGCAAAATTGGTTAAATGATTACACAGACACACAGTGTGCGTTGAATTCGTCGAATCAACATCACAACCCTCTTCCGACCACGTGCTCGTTGTATAATCCCAAAACACACAAGAAGGCTTGCTAACATTCGCAGTTTGAAGGTGCTTGAACGTCAACCGAACCGGCTCCCGCAACTGTATATGGCGCCCTTTACCCAGACTCGCCGAGATGATTTTGCTGTTCAATATTCGCGTCTTATTCGCGTTCATTTCCGAAGAATCCGGGTGCCATTGTAGAATTTCTTCTAAATGATCGAACGCCACGAATACCAATCTTACCAAACCTCCATCACTATTTTCTAAAAGTGCCCCTTGAGGAAGTTCGATCGAGTCGTTACTTGCCATCCATTTTTGATCGGTTGGAAATTTTTCAGTTGTTACTGATTTTGTTTCTAATACACGAACAGATAACACTATAAAAGAAAATATTATTAGATATATTATTTATTTACTTTTTTAACAATTATAATACTATTTCTGTGATTTTTAGATTTAACGCAACATATATATTTTTAAAGAAATATAAAGGAGCATGAAAATTTTCTAAAGTGTCCTCTTTCCAATGAACCAACCCGTTTTGAAAAATAACCTTTAGTTTTTGAGAAAACAATATTTGAAGTTTTGATAAAATTTTCATCGATAATTTTCAAAATTCGCTATAAAATTAATTTCTTGAAGAACCCTTGTGGAAATATCACCAATTAATAATTAAAGTATCCTCTTTTTAATGCAAAAAGCCGTTTTGAAAAATCACGTTTAGTTTTTGAATTAATAAATTGTTATAAAATATTTTATGAATTAGTGTTATAAGGGTTAAATAATATATAAATAAAATTCGTATAAAATCCATTTCTTGGAATACGAGTATAAAAATTTTCCAAAGTGTTAATAAAAGTGTCCTCTTTCCAACGCACCAACACGTTTTGAAAAATGACTTTTAGTTTTTGAGAAAACAATATTTTAGTTTTGATCAAATTTTCGATGTTGCAATTTTCATCGACAATTTTCAAAATTCGCTATAAAATTAATTTCTTGAAGGATCCTCGTGGAAATATCACCAATTATTAATTAAAGTATCCCCTTTTTAATGCAAAAATCCGTTTTGAAAAATCGCTTTTAGTTTTTGAGAAATAAATTTTTGAAATGATCGATAATTTTTTCGAATTTTGCAATTTTTGCAGATTAAGTTTTAAAAATTCGTGTAAAATCCATTTCTTGGAATATGAGTATAAAAATTTCCCAAAGTGTTAATAAAAGTGTCCTCTTTCCAACGCACCAACACGTTTTGAAAAGTAACTTTTAGTTTTTGAGAAATCAATATTTGAAGTTTTGTTAAAATTTTCGATGTTGAAATTTTCATCGATAACTTTCAAAATTCGCTATAAAATTAATTTCTTGAAGGATCCTTGTGGAAATATCACTAATTATTAATTACAGTATCCTTTTTTTAATGCAACAAGCCGTTTTGAAAAATCGCTTTTAGTTTTTGAGAAATAAATTTTTGAAATGATCGATAATTTTTTCGAATTTTGCAATTTTTGCCGATTAAGTTTTAAAAATTCGTATAAAATCAATTTCTTGGAATATGAGTATGAAAATTTCCCAAAGTGTTAATAAAAGTGTCCTCTTTCCAATGAACCAACCCGTTTTGAAAAATAACTTTTAGTTTTTGAGAAAACAATATTTGAAGTTTTGATAAAATTTTCGATGTTGCAATTTTCATCGATAATTTTCAAAATTCGCTATAAAATTAATTTCTTGAAGGATCCTTGTGGAAATATCACCAATTATTAATTAAAGTATCCTCTTTTTAATGCAAAAATCAGTTTTGAAAAATCGCTTTTAGTTTTTGAGAAATAAATTTTTGAAATGATCGAAAATTTTTTCGAATTTTGCAATTTTTGCCGATTAAGTTTTAAAAATTCGTGTAAAATCCATTTCTTGGAATATGAGTATGAAAATTTCCCAAAGTGTTAATAAAAGTGTCTTTTTTCCAATGAACCAACACGTTTTGAAAAATAATTTTTAGTTTTTGATAAAACAATATCTGAAGTTTTGATAAAATTCTCGATGTTGCAATTTTCATCGATAACTTTCAAAATTCGCTATAAAATTAATTTTTTGAAGGATCCTTGTGGAAATATCACCAATTATTAATTAAAGTATCCTCTTTTTAATGCAAAAATCAGTTTTGAAAAATCGCTTTTAGTTTTTGAGAAATAAATTTTTCGACAATTTTTTCGAATTTTTCAATTTTCGCCGATTAAGTTTTAAAAATTCTTGTAAGATCCATTTCTTGAAATATGAGTATAAAAATTTCCCAAAGTGTTAATAAAAGTGTCCTCTTCCCAATGAACTAGCCCGTTTTGAAAAATAACTTTTAGTTTTTGAGGAAACAATATTTGAAATTTTGATAAAATTTTCGATGTTGTAATTTTCATCGATAATTTTCAAAATTCGCTATAAAATTAATTTCATGAAGGACCCTTGTGGAAATATCACTAATTAATAATTAAAGTATCCTCTTTTTAATGAAAAATCACGTTTAGTTTTTGAATTAATAAATTGTTATAAAATATTTTATGAATTAGTGTTATAAGGGTTAAATAATATATACATATTAATTAATTAAAGTAAATTTCAAAATGATCTTACTAATATTTTTAACAACTTGATTAACAGTTTTTTCTCTCATAACTGTATCAGCTAAAAGAAAAGCATTCTCTTCGAGTCCAATAAGTAATGAAGTAGCAACCCGCATCTGTTCTTTATGGCTTAAATCTTTCCACGATGGGTGTTGCGAAACATCGAGAAGATTACTTCCGGTCCGAACGACGGCGTTTAACATATCAGTGACTATAGCCTCTCGTTGTCTAGGATCGGGAATGGTTTGGATGTCTCGTGCCATTTTGGCGGTCATTTTTTGTATGATTTTCGTGGTGATCATCATGTCACCGCCGTATAAAGTTTTGCTGCTGGTGACTTGTGCGAGGTCGTTTGTGATTAATAAGAGGGAGTCTTTCATTACTTGCACTCTTTGTTCGAGGCTGGTTAGCCATAATGAGCGACATTCGCTTAAATCTGGCGATTCGGGAACCCATTTTGATTCGCCGTCTATTTTTGAACATTTCCATTTAGCAAAACCCGTCGTGCCTCCTGGACATGGTTGTAAATTTTGTTCGCCACTCAATGTCCAATTCCAATAAATACTTCTCATCGTCACCGGGCCGCAATAATTTGTGATGTCTACTTCGCCGTTTGTGTAAAACGGCGTGTTGCTTGATGATGGCAGGTATAAACGTGTTATGGTATCGTCTAAAATTATTAATACATTTTAATTTGTAAAGAAAATTTGAAATTTTTTTTACCTGTGATTTTCTTAGGAATATTAGTGCTGGTGGTAACAACTGAGGTGAGGTCTTCAATACTCTTATCGTCACCCTCCGCTGGTGGGACCTCTCGCGGTGGTTCCTCGGTGGATGTGGATGACATTTGAGTTGTAGACGTCGTGGTAGGTCTTGAAGGCGGTGTAATGGAGACCTTAGGTGGTGGAGGAGGCGGCCTGATCGAGGTTTTGGGAGTGCTCCAAATTGGTGAATCTGTCGTAAGCAGCCACGGAGGACTTGGCCTGGTCGTGGTCGTCGTTGTGGCAGCTGCTACGATGGGAAACGAAGCGGAGTCGTTATGGTTAGTTTAGAGAAAAAGCCGAAAATCAATTTGCCTATGACGTCATCTTAATTGGACGCCGCGGCGAAGAGTGGTGCAGCTGGTGGAACTCCAATTAAGTTGTATAAATTAAAGTATAAATACAAAGTAAATATATATATAGGCTGCGCCACTCTTTCGTCGGTATCAATTTGATTGTCTTACCAGGAAGGCATTGGTAATGTGCTTCTAAGTATTTCAAAGTGCCCGGGCACGGATCCCCGAACATGTTTGTGCTCGCAGGAATGCTGCAGTTCTGAAATTGGCTGCACCTGAACGAACAAACGATCGCGAATTAGACAACACATTATCAAGGCTTCCCGTTTCGATCGAATTGTATGTCTTCGAATTTGCGAAACTAACCGACACAGTTATAGTGAACCTCAAGGTATTTTCCCGTATCGGGACAAGGATCATCGAACAACTCGTTATCGGCTATAAATTGACAACTTTCCCTATTATTACATCTGAAAAATCAAAATACAAAAATCATAACTCCTTATCTCATTTATAATTGATGCTCCCAAAATGATGATGTTAATTAATGAAATGAATAACACAAAAAATGTATTATTAAAAACGACCCAAAAGCGACATACAATTTGACGAAAACAAGAAGCTTCAAGATCTTATATATATATAGACATATTTTGATATTTAAGACTTACTACGACTCATATGCATAAATTAAACCCAATTAAAATCAATTTTTTTTCATTACGTTTAATTAGAAAAAATAACATGAGTAGTAGTAAATCGTTAAAACAAACAATTATCGCCCGTAATGTTCATTGGGCGAACCATAGAGTAGCACTTAAACCTAAATGGACACAACGAAATGTTAGTCACAAACAAGGAGCACATAAACAAGAAAGCTAAAAGCCGAATATCGATCGCGCTTTAATTACACCGGACGCATTTAACGCAAACGCCTGAAAATTGCTTATCCTGCATTTTTGATTTAAAATCATTAAATAAAAATAATGATTTAAGTGAATTAATCTAATTTGTACGTGCACTTCGTGTAACGTATATCCATGGGGAGGCAAAATTATATTTTGGGCGTAAGTAAATTTGGGCGCGCGATGTAAGTTACAAATTTCATCGCGCCGCAGCGTGAAAGCACGTAAATTTAACGTAATACCCCGTGAAAGTGGTGAGGAAATGCAATTTTCCGATATTAGTAAAGCGCGCCGCCGGTGATATTTCACTTACTTGTTGTGGAGGACTCGGAGGCTCTTTGGTGACATACAGTTTACGCTCCAATCGGTGTTGCCGTGGTCGTTGCATATCGTTATTGAGAACCTGCCGTAGTTGGCCCTTATCAATTTTATCAATTCGCCCTCCTTGCATTCGATCTTCAACGTTTTTCCCTCGCAAGCGTATGCCGTTTCATAACGATACTCTGCAATACAAATAAATCGAAAGGGAAGATGTTAGAAAAGGCTTTACCTTCGTTTGATAATTAATTGGAATTTCATAACTCTCTCTCTCTAAAGTTCAACAGGTTTCTAAACGCCGAATTTATTACCCGTCAAAAATAAAAGAATAAGAAGTGAAAAAAAGACAAATAAGCAACAAAGATTGCTACATTCGCTTGCCAATCATCATCGCCGTACAAAAAAAACTATAATGCGCGAAGCTTTCTAATGCGAACTTTCACTAGGTATTGATTTTTTTTTTGAGGACTTATGCAAAAGTCGCGGCGTTCTGTAGTTGACAGCGTTAACTCTCGGGACTTCCTTTGTATCGCCATTAATAACGGCTTATCCGGACGTTTGCGAGCCCTGCCGCTTTGCGAATTGACAATTATTCGCTTCCAAACTTGGAAATTAAAACTCATCCCAAACTGTTTGGATTTTCGCGAACAACTAAAATCAAAATACCCGTAAAAATAGACAACCCTCCCTTTGAATGACAACAAAACACGCAATCCATTCCATGATTCCATATCACCGGATTTATTTTGTTTGAATACATCAATTTAAACATTTTTTCTGATAATATATCAAGAAGATATATTGCGTATAAAGTGGAAATTCATGACATTGAGATGAAAAATTTACATGCCAATAAAATATGTTCTTTATCTTTAGTTATTTTGATAGTTATAAATACACTGTGTTTATTAATTATCGTAATCCACGTGATCTGTGTAATATTGGCTGCATATCTCAATACGTAGTGGTAACTTGAACAATTTTAAATTAATAACCAGATATTGACAACTGATCGAACCTTTAGCTTTGTGAGTTTCCGTATTTTCTTTGTTCTTTAACCGTTTTTTACTGCTTTTATATTTTTCGAAACAGTTCTTTTAGAACTATCGTTGTTTATGTAAATCAAAATAACAACATTAATTTCAATCTATGGGTACACTAAAAATTATGTTAAATAAAAGGACATTTTTTTATATTTTAAACGGCTTTTAAAGGTAATGAATTATCGCCATCGTTTTTAGGAACTTTCGTCGCGTTGCAATACCAATCTGTGATATTGGTTGCATACTTTGTCGGGTACGATAATTATTCTTGTAGCCAAGTAACACAAGATCTGTTCATAATATTCTAAATAATTTGTTGTATTTGTAAGAAGTCGGAAGAAAAGAATTGTTTTGATTTAAAGTGTTTCTAAAATAAGTGCTGATACATAGGTAATTAAAAGGAAGCCGCGTGATTCTAAGAAAATGTGGACGGTGCCGTCCATTAAAGGCAATTATAATAATTAATATCAATTAAATTTAGAACGTCGGAGCGAAAGAACTCCCCTCACGAGATGTTTGAAATATGGCCCGTCCGAGATTTATTTGAAGTGGCGTGGCGAGTTCGCTTGGGGAACGGGAACGATTTCTCCCCCTTGTTCTCGGTTTAAAGACACATCTCGCGGAGCAATTAAGACGGCTACAGTCGTCAGGAATGCTGTTAGAGGCAGGTAATTACGGAAAGTAGGTACCCCGTGCATTATAAGTATTATAATAGTGGAATTGCCTTTATTAAAAGACAGTATAACAAAAAGACGGACCGCGTCCGCGTCTAATAGACGCAATAAATAATCCGACAAAGGATGTTACATTAAAAATTCATTAACTACCGTCCGAAAAAAAGACCAACCCCATGGTTCGGGCCAAGTCTATTGTTTCACATCCCTTTTTGTTGGAACTACACCTATTAATTCTGTTATCTGAGAGAACGCTCGGGTCCGGGTCTTTCTATCCTTTTTTTACCCTTGGACTGATCGCGCACGAATACCTCTAGTTCTTCTATCGTTGTCCATTTCGGATTCATCAGTGTTTCACATCGTACCCAACTGATCTAATTTCGACATCTTTAGGTTGATTTTCAAAACAATAAACCCCAACAAACAAGAATTTTTTCCCATTCACCGTTCTCAACGTAGAGAATTTCAGATTGAATATTGGAAGCCCTCGAAAACAGGATAACGATCCTAATCGCTGCTACGCATCCTCTACTTGATCCTCGGAATTACGATCCACTTAAAAAACAAGCGGCAATTTTTCTCCGTTCGTGAGTACGGCTCGTGCTGCGGGATAAATAATTATTATCGAGGGATGAAAGTGCTTACTTAAATTTTCGAGGTGTCCTGCGGGCGGTCCTCCTCCCTCGGGCAAGTACATTCCTGAAACAAGCGGAAAATTACTTTATCGTTCCATTTTCGCATCGTTCTTTTTTGAGGAAACCTTTCATTCAATCGATAGATACATCTCTTTTTTTTTTAGAAAGTTTACCGCACGCTGTGCACCGTTATCACAATCTATTACGCTTGCGTGATCGCTCTAATAATCTGGAAGCATCACCCAAGCATGATAGTAAATTTTTTTTCATATAACACGCCAATAAATTTTGGTATCTACCAAAAATATATAGCACACTAAAATGTGCTTGTTTTATATTTCAAAATATTTGGGACATAACTTTCTCTTAATGTAAGGGTATCAATTTCAAAACAAAATCAAATGTTTTGAAAATGACCTTTTTTAAATATCAAGGTTATAACCATTAATTTTTCGAAATGTTAAAGTAGAAAAAATTGTTTATGAACATAACTTATATATATGTAGTGCCATCTATTAGTAAAATAATGAACTAAAAAAAACAATAGTAGCGATAAGGGTTATGTTATGAGAGGTTATGTCGAGTTGTAGTTAAAACTTATTTTAGGAGAACCGGGTAAAAAGAGAAAAAAAGCCTAACACACATATTTATATATATGAAGTATATTCTTTGTTATTAATTGAAGGTCGATGTGAATAAAGATGTACTCAATTAGTAGTATAAGAGGAAAGAAAGGCAGTGGTAATTAGACGGTTACGAGAACTATTATACGACGAAATAATAGGATTTTAATATAGAACAGGATGTACCAAAGTAGATGCAAATGATAATGATTCTCATTGTGGCGTCGACGTAAAATAGAATAGGCCCATTATGGAGAAGTACGTGGCCGCATAATTCGAACCGTCTATCTTAATATAAAGGTATTCCATACGAACCACACCTTTTCATACAATTACTCTTTCATCTATTTAAATTGTCCGGCGCGCGGCTTATTGTTATTAATGGCGGCCATATACAAACACCGTTTAATTGGTGGACTACATTAAACGCTTGCATACAGACAATACACCAATTTTCCATCACCTACTTGGGCAATCGTTCAGGACCCGTTTTTTTTATCGGCGAAACGAAAAAAAAAATTAAACATAAAGAAGACAAGACAACGGCTCTATAATAATAATTCCGTGCGGCCGTATGGGACGCGCGTACATAATGTAAAAGTTATTGTAATTCTACGGCGCGCGTTTGCGCAACACAAATGGGTAAGGCCACGTTACGTTATTGCGCTAGTCACTGTGAATTACTGAAATACTTGAATCGATTAATAAATCTTTCGATATTAGCCGCGATTGGTTCCTTGGGGGCTTGAGAGATAACATCTGCGCCTTAAAACGCTTACAAATCTCATTTTACACCGACACCACCGTCACTCCTTACTATTACAACAGTAATATTACGTGCAACTTTTTTGAACATAAATGATTGCCGAAATATATATTATAATACGCATGCGTTATGACCTTGGTGTATATATATGACGTCGTTGGCAGCGTTTGTGGTGGATATGACAAAATAATTTTATTGCCTTTATTATGGTAGTATCGGCGAGTGTCATCATACCTCAAGTTTCCCGTATTGTCTTTTGAAAGTAAAATTATAGGACCGTACAAGTCTTGGCGTGGTCGTCGAAGCCGTCAGAAGGACGTATAATTGAATATAGATTGCCGAGCGGGGCGGCAAATGCCGTCGCGAAAGGCTCACCAATACCTATAGAAAAGACATTGTTGCGAACACAATATGGGTGAGCAAAATTTTTGAGTGACGGCAACTTCGCACAAATTTGCGGTTTCGAGAAACAGACCATTGTGAACACGCTTCGAGGATGACGTCAGTTGCCGTTTTCTTTTACGGTCGTTTTATCTCGCAGGATTCCATCGCGAGGTGGCGACCTCTGAGGCAGCTTCCACAGTATACTCTTGGCGGTCATTAGGCGAGAAAAACATACGAGATAGGGAGGAGAAACGGTTTTGTTTTCGGAGTTTAAACTGGACCTAATCTTAATATCGGCGACGCCGGGTACTTTCCCTGTACCGCTGTGAACAACAGTTTCCTAAGAAATTGCAGAGAATGGTGACCTACATAGGAAGAAATTTAAAGCCTTTTACTATTATGGAAGATATTTCGAACCGTTAGTCCCGCGGTGTATATACATATTTTATAATAAAGCCCCGGGGTGTTCTCATAAATTTACGTTCGCCGGCAATAACTATTTTTAATATAAATCCCCAACCGTTCGCAGAGAAATTAATAAATTAATATCGATACACACAAAACATCCACAGTAATTTATTACCAGTTAATACCAAATTCCCATATAATTTTTAATAAACATTTATTAAACACAAAATAAAATGTTTAAAAACAAAAATCTTCAAAAACTTTAAATAAATGAGCCTTACGACGATAAATCTAAACTTAATCCCAAATTCGGGCAACCCAGAGAGTTGAGAGGACGCGATGCCCGAGGCTGGGTAATAGATGAAGCTTTAATTAATAATTTCTAATTCTCGAATCGAGGACTTTGGGGCTTTAGAGCTGTAGGGCTTCCCGCATTAATTATGATATCGGGCGAGCATCTGCGAATACGAGAATAACCGTAAACCGATAAAAATACCAACATCGACACACAAACCACCCTAAAAGCTCAACCCTCGAAGGTCCACCGATATAATTAGCCCTTCCGAGAACACAAAGCGTAAAAATACCACGTTCTATTAAAATATTTTAAATGGAACCCGTTACCGGCGAATTATGCCGAAAAAGGGCGGCGCACGCGGTCAACTAAGACAATATAAAGCAATTAGTACAGTAGAAATGTTAATGAACACATAAACGCCCGAGAGGATATGAGTCCGGTAGAGGTAATTGACACAACCCGATCACAATGACTGACTAAAAAGCCAAAGAGTTCTGTGAAATCGTATTTCTCAAAATTTATTTATTCAATTAATATCATTTCAATTCTTTTCTTCAAAACGGTTTGGAATTAAGAAATGAATTTTAAGTAAATATTAGATAAGAAAATGGTTTATTTCATTGTATAGGTTTCATCTGAGTAATTGAATTGAGTGAATAGTTCATTTCGCACTTTAATAGTTGCTGGTATTTAAGAAGTTTCACCTTAGTAGAAAGCCAAGTTGACATCAACGTTTAATATAATTTTTAACTGTGTGTATTTGAAAGTGTACGTTGACTTTTGACCCGACACGCATAAACTATACATAAACTTGTGCGCAAATTTGATTATTAAAGTTGTCGATGGGAAAAAACTTATTGTTGATTATATATATATGTATATAGTGATATGCAGGGATAGTTTAAATTGTTAGTATGCTGTATGGTATCGTTACGGAATAGAAAGCTATGTCATCAAATCCTAATTAAATTCCAGAGTGTTGAAAAATGTTGTCCGCGCGACCGCAAAATGTTCTGATCGGTATAGAATGGAATTGGAATGGGACAAATCGCGAGCATAGCTGGCAAGTCGGACATTATACACATAACACGTATTAATAATTCCCGCTATTTCATCGTTGGTTAATTGTAAATAATTCGGAATATTCGCAGGATTGATTTGAAAGTAGATAAAGGAACATTTGAAATGCCCCAAACGGTAGCTCCGTTTATCATTTGCGTGTCAGTGACAAGTCTTTGGGTCACGAAAAAGCGCGGCCCCCGAAGGGGTGCTGGCGACAGCGTTGCATCGCAAATTCTAAATGCGTTGAAAAAAAAGGATCGTTCAAAACAAAAAATAAATAAATAACCGAGGAGAAGTATCGGAGATAGAGCAAACGCAACCAGAACGACTAGACCAGGCTTCTCAGCTAACCGGTTTAGCAGCTCAGCCATTGCCTTAATAAAATGAAAACATAACGATATACCTCGCACAGAATTCCTGATCCGGCGACGAAGACGACCGATCTCTCTCGTATACCGTCTTTCTCGTCGCAGATGGGAACTTCCACGACCCAACTCTGAGGAAAGGTTTTTACCTTTCCTCTACATCTCTCCAATCTTCTCTGCGTTTACCACCCCAAAACGCAACGACTTTAATACTATTAGTTCTGTTTTTAATTATCCCTTCATCTCGAATAATCTTTCATTAATCCTTCCTATTTTACATCATTTCACGATTCACTACACATTCCACTAAACATACTATATAAACATAAAATTGTGTAATAAATGTAGTAAATATTCGTTGGAGGGTTGGATATTGATTTTATAATCACGGTTAAACCGTATAAAGCAATTATGTTAATATATCACTCTTTCTCGTTGACGGTTTGGGATGAAAGAAGATTAAAAAAAAAAACAAAAGTAATTTTTGAAGGTGATTAATTGAGGTGGTCGAGGGACGAAAATGAAATTTTTACCGGGACGCACTTAAGATATTAAAATCGTAAACGGTTCCTTCTGATTCATCGCGGCGCTTAAATTTCGCGCCGAGACCGTTTTTTGTTTAACGATCCAGCCCTTTTATTGTTATCCCAGTTTTATGGGCGCGTATGGTTTACGATGGGAACTAAAGCGGTTCATAAACTTACGCGGACGTGCCAATTCCGACGGCCAAGGAAACTCAAACATATAGCTCTCCCTCAACGTTCGAGAGGGTATCGATTTCACTTTATGCACCAAATTAACCCGCTCGATTTACAATCTAATTATAGCGATTTATTCGATTATAATTAAACGAAGCCACAAGCGATTTTCAATGCGAACAATCAACTCGAAAAATGCCCATTTCTAATTAAGGCGGATAACCTCGACTGTCTTAGGATACACAATTGAATGGTGTCGTTGTTATTTTCTCAACGTCGACGGTTCATTGGAAACTATAAATTCTATTTAATTTATTAAAATCCGAAATAAAAGTATCATGTCCAAATAATCATGTTTATGGAGTTTCACAACCGAATCTATTAAGGGATGACTTAGATTTATGGTTGGATTGATGGGATTTATGGTAGTATTAGCAAATTTCAGGTCAGATGTCCACAA